CTTCAACGTGGTTTATATCACTCGTAATGTTAAGTGGACGCACAATAGAAGGTTTTCTTCACCTGAACGTTGAAAACAGCGTGGAATAAAGCCAATACCAAAAATTGTATATAATAAGTGCTCAAAAGCACAAGGAAGTTTCATCAGAGTCGTTGACATTCACGTACAGCGGTGGTCGGATGGTCGAGTGGATAGCGTGATGGACTCTGGTTGGCACGGTTTGTTCGAAGTTGTTGGTTCGGTTCCCCTCCATGCTCGGATTTTTGCATTTTTCCGATTATCACTTTTTTGCATTTGCATGTGCTTGCGCGTGAACTTAAAGCCTATAGGTGTCATTTCCAAGAACTTTCGCCAAACGTACCGCTTGCTATCATCTCGAAGCTGTCTCCAAGTGGCCATACTGACTATGGGACTATGGGCTTACCCATGGCCCAATTTTTGAATTCGGGCCAAAATCTTGATCTTCTCTAAAACTGCGGCTATAAGGGTAATTATAGGCGCTGATTACGAATCTGACGTCCATTTTTGATGGAGGCGCGATATTGCGCCATTTTAGCCTCCTCGGGCACCAACTCGGCGCCGCTTTAGCGCCATACAATTTTCGCCCCAATTCTGGGCAGAAAGCTAATCAGAAAGGTTGATGATGACCCTGATTGTAAGAACAGTACCTATTTTTATCGGCGGTAACATTTGGAGTCATTTAACATGCGCTAACATGAAATGCAAAATTTTGTCATCAGCCGGGACCGATCCCTCGACCGATTTTTCATACCTTTTTTGGCATTCACAGGGCCGCTCAGAAAAAATGGAGCCTAGTTTTGTACTCCATGCATGTGCCCCTTTATCATGCAAAAAACCGTTTTCAAAAAGGGCTCCATGTCCTGAAAGACCTTCCTGGTAAGAGGCCATCATATGAGATTCCAGCGTGCGTGCGCAGAGTGCACACTTGTAACTCGGTTCTACCCCAGAACATCACCCATAAGGCAGCAAAGACTAATGAGTCGACCAGGTTTTGCCCTCAATAGATGAAGTTTTTAGCTACCGGTTAGCGCTTTCGATATTCCACGGTGTTATGCGGACGATCTTGCGGCTGTTGTCATAACTGAAGGCCTAATCCGTGATCGAGTCAGACGGTTAGCAAAAGGTACGATTTCTTTGATAACTTTCAAGTTGCGATAAACTGGCTACTGCGGATGTTAAAACTCGCTTTCCAGACATCCATGAGGCGATTGGTGAACATCAGTTGTCGCTTCTTTGTGTACTCAAGGGATCTTACAAGTTTTTTAACGCACTGGTTAGTAGAGCGGACTTTTAATATGGAGATTTGTTTTAATTCTCTATGTTTAAGGTAGACGAGCTGTCAAATGCTCGATGGTCTTGCAAGGAACCAATGACCGTCGATTTTATACGATGCAAAAGCTACGAAGACGATGCCACTTCCGGAAAGGTCCAGATCATTGGACTCAGTAATTTGGAAGAACTCCGAGGAAAAAATGTGTTGGTGCGTATAAACCTTGCACTGGATTGTTTCGCTGATGAAAATAAGGGTTAAAATAGTGAATGTTAGGTAATCTCTCCGTGATGTGCCATACATCCTACATTAATTCTAAACAGAACATTAGGACCAATCTTGTCAGCCCACTAAAGTAACCCCATTTTCCGCAGAGGAAAAGCTCTGATGTGGGTGTAAAGCGGAAACAAAATGTTTTACGCTCCTTGGGGTTTTCCTCTGCGAAAATTGAAGTTTCGAAGGCGGCAGCGACCGTCGCGCCACACTGGATGAAATCCTAAGGACTGTTAAGTTTTAGGCTCCAGCTTTTTGGAAACGGACCAGTCATGTAATTTGTGTGGTATTTTAACGCTTCTGAGGGCATCTAATCAGTCGATTCTCGTGATGCCCCTTGCCATTACCCTGTCTAGGGTTTTCTTCCCGAAGGGATTGATTGAGGGAGGAAAAGTCCCTCAAATTTTCTCTGCCTTCCCATCTGGGATTGCCCTGATTATGTGCCTA